TTCTCTTTCCCTCCCCCAGTGTCCCCCAGTGTTTCTTCGATCCTCAGCCCCAAGCTTCCTCCCTTAGATTTCCCCTCCCGAGATGATAACGACCGCCGGGCTCCAAGCTGGTTTCCCTCCCTTTCCCACAGTCTTAGATTCTTCCAAAGTGCCCCAGGTGACACTGGACCATTTCATTTCCCATCCTGGAAAGGGGGTGTGGGATTAATCCATTCCACACTCTGAGGATTGGAGCGGTCCATTTGTCATGGGTAGCGGGGAAAGGACTAGGCTGGAGGCTTCAGGAATGTTGAGTTCCACTTCCCACCCCGAGGAAGGGGATGGGAGGAGGAGCTGTCGCATTGGGGATCCGCCCACCTTCCGGCTGCAGCTTGCGGAGAGGGAGCCCTGGCGAGCCTAGGGCCCCTGCTGCGGCGGAACGGAAGTTGGGGGGCAACATCTCAGCTGAGTCAGGGGTTACGCCTCGGAGGTCTTTCTCTCGGAACATCTTCCTCCAGGATGGGGAGCGGCTGAAGGACTTGGCGCTGTCCTAGGTATAAGGGCCCGGCAGCCGGTGAAGTACCAGGGCCGCGTACCGACTCCGCCCCTTCCCTTGACTCCACCCCTCTCCACGTCCCTTCCCTCCTTTAACCCCGCCCCTCCCCTGGAGGCGCCTTCCACCATCACCGGTTGGGAAAGTCAAGCCCAACCCCTTCAGCTCCGACCCTAGAGGTGCTGCTTAGAGTTGTCTCCTATTAAGCTACGAAAGCTGCGCCCACCTCATCCAGCCGCCTGTCTGTGCCCAAGGAGATGAGGTTGCTGAATTCCTTCTCCAAGAGCTGCCGGGCCTAGGGGGGAGAGGTGAGAGAGTGGTTGCAGCGTGCAGTCTGCGAGGTGAGGATGCCCAGAAGGTCCCGGGCCTAACTGCAGCTCACCTGTGCATTCTGCGTGGGGATCTGCAGGAGCAAGGCCAGGTCGGAGTAGTCGAAGGTTTCGTCCAGGGCGAGCAGCGCCCCGTGCACCCCGCTCTCCGTGAGGTTCGTGGCGAATTCCTTCAGGCCCAGCCCGGACACCCAACCCATGACCCGCTCATTGGACCACACCATCACGTCTGGGGACGGAATGGACCCTCAGCTGTGCCCCTCCTGAGGCCAGTCCCTTTCAATTTATCCTGTATCTCCACCCCCATTTCCTCTTTCTGACCACGCCCCCATGCTGGCTCCTCCCCCTCGCTATTTATGCCTCCTCAGCCCTGCCCCAAACCCCTCCACTTAACTCCCTGCGACACTTACACTGTTCTACTCACCTCGGATCTGGGTCTGACTCTCTTCCCGCCTCCGCTCCAAGTCCTTCCGGTCATAGTTGAGCCGTTTCAGGCACATGATCCCATAATGCAGACTCACCCTGAGCAGCAAAGGAAGTAGAGTCACAGGTGAGCCCTCACAACCCCAAAACTGGTCGTCTCTATTGGGACCTTCCCGGTGTTTGTGATCTTCTGGGAAAGAGCAAGGAAGGAATTGCTTCACTTGGTCTGTTCTGTTGATCGCTGATCTTCCCAGGAGTTGGGATATTTTCAACAGGCAGTTCCTATTGGTCATCTTGGAAGGGATATGGGCCCAACTAGCCAAGCTGTCTCAGGATTTGGAGTTTTCCTAGTGGGCCATCTCATGGGCCGATGAGGCACAGGAGTCAGGCTATTCAGATAACCTGAACTAAAGGACGAAAAATAGTCCAAGGGATTCCCCATCACTGGTCCTATTTGCCAAAGACTCTCTAGGAATGGGGCTTTCCCCCCCTTGAACTGTCATCATTAGCCAGGCAACCCCCACCTGTGGAAGCTGTCCACCATCTTGAGTTGGCCCCGGAGCTCCTTCTTGTTAAGATGATCTAACATGCGGGCATCCACCAGAGACTCCATGAAGTAGCTGCGGTATTGGGGCAGCCCCAGGCTGGGCAGCCAGTCGTTTCCCACCCACTCGTGGTTCATGTCGCCATATGCCAGGATCTGGGGCCATGGGCAGGTGGGGGAGGGGTCAGGCCCTCTGACCCCTTCCCGTGTATGTATGAAAGGGTACAGCCTGACCCCCTCCCCCATCCGAGGTTGTTCTTTCTCCACCCCATAGCAGGACAGTGGCCAATCTCTGCTCAGGCCAATGGACAATCCAAAATTGTCTCCTCCTTCATAATGACAGCATAGACCCATGTCTACTCAAACTGTGGTTCTTGGACCCACAGCATCAGCATCACTTGTGAATTCGCTGGAGTTACAGAATTTCAGACCCCACTGAATCGAAGCCTGCAGTCTCACAAGATCCTCAGGTGATCTGAACTGTACATTAAAGTTTAAGAAGCACTAGTTTAGCATTGTCCCAACGCAGAACAATGGATCAGTCCATCACTACTCCCCCAAGTCAGGACAACGGATACTTCCAACATAGCTCTCTCCCCAACAAAGAATAATGTATCTAAACACCACTCTTGCACTGTCCCAGAATATACTAGTCTAATGCGGTATCTGACCCAGACCAATATTCTGGATCAACCCACAATCTTTTACTCCCTTTAGTATAAGAACACCATCTATACCTTCCCCTGAGGGAAACAAGACCCAACACACCTCCTCTACCTCGTGTGAGCTCATACCTCTCCCCTCTTGAGAACAAAATGTAGCTTCTCCCCAACTTCTCAGCCTGAGGTGCCGCCCCCTCCCCAAATGCTTTCCCATTTGCTCCAGTGGAACAATCCCACTTCCCTCTCGACCAGGGGGAAAAGAGCTGCTCAGCATCTCCTTCTAGTTATAGCAATGAAACAGCCCCTGGAGCCTCCGCAACCCAACATACTGGAATGACCCGTGCACCACTAACAATGGAACAGTCGGGCTTCTACACCGACCCTCATCAAGCTACAATAACAGTCCAGAGCAGAGCTCTGCGCAGCATTCCCCCCCACCCCCCACCCCATGGTAAGGATGGAATGCTCTGGCGAGGGTAGGGGCGGGGCTCAGAGAAGGAGGAGCGTCCATGCAGCATGCACAGCCTGTTCATGCGCCCACGTCCCGCCCCGCGCCCCCTACCTGCTCCCAGCTGATCTCCTTGGTCTCCTGACCAGTTAATGGGAAGAGGGGAGAGAAGGGGTGGGTTAAGGGGCAGGTGGAGGAGGGCTGGAGGGACAGAGAGACAGACAGACAGCCACAGACTCACCACTCCCCCGCCCCTCCCCAGGGAAAGTTAGTGCCACCCCCAAGGCTGCCGGCAGGGGGCACTCACAGGCTTTGTCGTCGCCGTGAGGGACTCCATCTCCTCATGCGTCATCCACACGTTTCCTGTGGACTGAGGGGCGAGGGGTGTTATGGAAGTTGTGAGAGAGCTTCTGGATAGGGGAGGGGAAGGGGGTCGTGGCTCCTGGAGGAGCCGAATTAGGCATGGGAACACATAATTTTCTGTATGGAACAAAATGATAAAATATTAGAAAGCAGTAAATGCTAAGGGAAAAAATAGCGTTAATGTGCTGGGGTGACGGGGCGGGTGGCTAGTTTGGCTGTTGAGTTAGGGAGGCCTCTTGGAGGTGGTGACATTTAAGCTGAGACCTCAAGGATGAGAAAGACCCAGACTTAGGGAAAACGGGAAGGAGGGCTCCAAAGGGAGCAGCAAGTGCCAAGGAGCAGAGGAGAAAAAGAGGGGGACAGGGGCCCCTCATCCAGGGCCTTGTAGAGAACCATATGAATTTGGCTTTTTTCCAGGATGGGATCCCTCTGGCTGCATGTAAGACAGAATGAGGGTTAGGAGCAGCAGGGAGGCAGAGAGACCTGAGGGGAGACCCCACCCCAGAGATAATCCAGGTCAGAGACAATGGGGAGCAGGGTCTACCCGACCAAGCTGGAGTGAGCCGGCCCAGGATTGGCTACTCTGATAGTGGGCGGGGCCCTAAGGCAGCAAGGGCTGGGATTGGCTCCTGGACACTCACCGTGCGGGAGGAGGCAGGAGCAGAGGGTGAAGTGAGC